AAAAAGCAAGAGTCCTAACGGAATGAGCAAGGAGCAACAAGATGAAAACATCAGTGGAGACAAGGGTAGAAATGAATCCCTTTCTATGTGTATAAAGCCAGATCACTCTCAGAGTGTTAATTTATGGAATTTTGCTAATTGGAAAATGTGTGGTTGTGAGGAGTGTTTAAGAGAAATTCATCATGTTTAACATGATATAGTTAAAAGGAATATTAAGAACAGATCTTAATATAAGCTTTAAGGTGAGCAAAGGTGGAAAGGCCCAGAAATTTTCATTAAAAGGGATTTAGTATGTAAAATCAATTAATGTGTCAATTAAAGACAATTAATTAATTAATTAATCAATTAATTAATGTGTCAATTAACGAAAACTGAGCACTAATGAGAAAGAGACCAAATTTTATTTAGATTTTTTAAACTTGCTCCTTAGGACAATCGATTTCACTTTTTAAAAGTTTTTTAGGGGCACCTGGGTGCCTCAGTCAGTTGAGTGTCCAACTTCAGCTCAGGTCTTGATGTCCCGGTTCGTGCCCCGCGTTGGGCTCTGTGCTGACAGCATGGAACCTGCTTCGGATCCTCTGTACCCCTCTCTCTCTCCCCCTCCCCCGCTCACACGCTCCCAAAAATAAACAAACATTTTAAAAAGTAAAACATAATAATTTTTTTTTCTAATTTGCTTTAGAACCCTACTGCTAGTTACAACATGGAAAGCCTCTTCCGTGTCACAGAGCAAATGATCTTGGATGTTCCACGTTGCTGGGCATCCCAGTGTGGTTTGCTTCCCAATGTCATGGCTACATTCTTCCTCACTTACTGTCCATGTTATTCCTGTTCCTTCTAATCAGCCTCGTGGCTTTCAGCTAACTTGACCTTAGTTCGTTTTACTCCCAGCCGCTGGTCTTCCTTGGTTTTTGCAGTCGTTCACCTCTGTCGTTAGCTGTTCCAGGGCTCTGTGTGGCCGCCTTTACTCTAATCAGCCTCTGGGGCACAACTCCGAGAAGCAGGCATTCATGCCACCTGACGACTGAAACTGAGCCCATGGAAGAGGCTGGGCTGCCGATCGGATGCACTAAGACACCATGTGCAGGACAAGCTCATGGAAAGGCAGCGATAGCAGGTGTTTACTTAGCCACAGGTATAAGGGCTTCTGAGCAACAGTGGGAGGCTAGCTCATTATTAAAATTTTGTTTAGGGGGCGCCTGGGTGGCTCCGTCGGTTGAGCGTCCGACTTCAGCT